AAAAATTTGAAAGAAAAATTAGCCAGGCATGGTGGCACGTGCCTGTAGTCCCAGCTACTTGGGAGGCTGAGACGGAAGGAAAGATTGCCAGAGTCCAGGAGGTCAAGGCTACAGTGAGCCATGATCATGCCACCGCATTCCAGACTGGGCGACCGAGTGAGACTCAGGCTCAAAAACAAAACAAAACAAAACCGCTGGGCAATACTACCTAGAAATTCAAGTTTTAAAACAAATGATAGCCAGGCGCAGTGGCTCACGCCTGTAATCCCAGCACTTTGGGAGGCAGAGGCAAGAGGATTGCCTGAGCCCAGGGGTTCAAGACCAGCCTGGGCAACTTGGCGAGACTGTGTCTCTACAATAAATTAAAAAATTAGCCAGGCGTGGTGTCACTGCCTGTGGTTCTACATACTTGGAAGGCTGAAGCAGAAGGATTGCCTGAGCCCATCAGGTCAAGGCTGCGGTGGCCTCCAGCCTGGGCAACAGAGTGAGACTCCGACTCAAAACCAAACCAAAATAAAACAAAACAAATAATATTTAAGTGAATTGAAATGTAACACGCACTTCCCCCTCCCCCTCCCCACAAGCATTTTGGTGCTGTCCCTGAGTTCCAACAGGAGTTGCTCCTGACCCCACTGACACTGAGGTGGCCACCGGGGCCCTACACTGGGAAATGTGGATTTGTGGCCCAGAGATACAGTTTCAGAAAAGAGAATTTTCAAAAAAAATTTTTTTCTCCAACCAATAGGAGTTTGTAAGAATAAAAATGTTTAGAATTATGTTTGAAATCATTTTTATGCTGTGCAGTTTTTGTTCTAGTATATTTCACATATACAGAGAGTTCAATGGGGTCTTTTTTTTTTCTGGTAAAGACAAGGTTTCACTATGTTGCCCAGGCTGGTCTTGAACTCCTGGGCTTAAGTGATCCTCCTGCCTCAGCCTTCCAAAATGTTGGGATTACAGGTGTGGGCCACTGTGCCTAGCCTTCAGTGAGTTTTGACAAATGCATACAGAACATTTCAATCATCTGCAGAAGTTCCTTCATGGCTTTCTCAGTCATTCTCCTCCAAGACAACTAAAATGATTTCCTTCACTATAACAGTTTTGCCTGACTTAGAATTTCATAAAAATGAAATAATACAGTATTGTTTTATGTGTTTGGCTTCTTTCATTCAGTCCTATGTCTGTGAGGTTCATTGATGATATTCATGTATCAGTAGTGTTCCCTTTCATTGCTGAATAGTATTCCATTACCCTGCTGTTGTGTTTGTCATTTCAACTGGACTGTTTCCAGTTTTTTGCTGTTATTAATTTGAATATTTTGTACAAGTTTTTGTGTGGACATATTGTAGTGACATGCTGTGGCCAGCTCACCAGAGCAGATTTTATATTTCTTTTCAAGTTTGGTTCAGTGATGTCATACTGGTAGCTTGAAATAAGCCATGGTGGGAATATTTGCACTACAACCAGCAAATGCTACACATTGGAGTTTTTTTCCTTCCCAGAGAGCTGGTTGTTAAACATTTAGCAGCACACCATTGGACATGTGTTTTCATTTCTCTGGAGTAAATAGCTAGGAGTGAGATTGCTGAGTTGCATGATAGGTGTATGTACACATACACCTATCACGCGACTCAGCTATTTACTCTACATGAAACTGCCAAATCGTTTCCAAAGTGCTTATACCGTTTTACACTCCCAGTAGCAATGTATGAAAATTCTAGTTGCTCCACATTCTCATCACCAATACGTGGCATGGTCAGTCTTTTACATTTTAGCCACTGAAAGTTGAAGATCCAAATAGCAAAGGGGAGATGGCAAATGGAAGTTATATGAGAGTCCTGTGAGCAGAACTTCTATCTCTTCTTATAGGCACCCAGTACATACACGTTGAAGCATGTTGAGGCCCCTCTCACCTAGTGACCGTCCTCTGATAATTCCCATTTCACTGCAGAGGGATGCTGAACCTCTAAACAGGAGAATGTAGTCACTTCAAACACAACAGGCCATTCATATTGTTGGTAAATAATTAAAAAGAAAATTTCATGCCAACCCAGTGAATCCTCTCCACAAAGAGAAGAATGAAAACATTTTATTACTGAATGAGCTGATTAAACCAGATTGCAATGCACATCACAAGCAATCTGCTAAAGAGATTTTGAAAGACAGAAAGAACTCTCATTCTTTCATATAGGAAGCAGGTACAACTCATTACATACATATCGTCAAAACAAACAATTGCTTGTGCACAAGTCAGAGAACTTGACAACACCATTTGGTATACACAATTCATCCCAAATTCACCTGGTAATTGCAGTAGGCCATCTGTGTTAGTTCATTGCCTTTATCCAAAGGAAAACTAAAACTCCTATTTCTCTGACAAGCAGGTAACAACTTGGAGTCAGGCATGTAGAACAAATTCCCATGGTCACTGGGAGATAGGGGTGCTATTTTCGTTGTTGTTTACATTTCAGAGATAGCTCCAAGGCTCTTAAGAGAAACGCACCGGGATTGTGAAACTGGCAAGAGACCTCTTTAGCTTTTAGAAATATTTACATGCATCTCAAAGGGACAGAGGAAAAATTTGCAATGATAAGTTTTCTAAGGAAAATGCTCTAAGAAAAGGGAGGAGGAGAATTCTCTTTCCCTTTTGTCACTAGGAAAAATTCAATTATTAAAACTTCGTATTTACCCTACAAGTAAGTCCTCCACACATCGACGGCCTCCCTTCCAGGTCTCCCCTTCCCTCTTCATCTGGCCACCTCTAACTAGTCTTTCAAAATCCTCATCAACCCTCTTCTTAAACGAATCCTCCCAGAACAGCAGGCCACCCCTCCTACGGACAGCTCCCAGCCCTCGCCACACCAGAGACCCGCTGTCATCAAAGATTATGACTACAGTCTCCTACAGCTGGTAAACATTGCAGGTCGGTTGGTCTGATTCTAACCCATTTCAAAGAGGGTAAAACTGAGGCACAGGAAAATCCTTATAAGGGTGCTTCGAGTATTGGCCCAAAAAGGGTACTTGATTTTCCCGCCTAGATTTCTAAACCTCTAAGTTCTGCTCTAAATGGCTGAAAAAAGTCCTGCTTTATTCCTCCGTGGCAAGATTAGAGTTAAAGTCCTTCGCACGCAGGTCTCGCTCCGACTGCGCCTGCGCGAGTCAAGACCTGCGAATTTGCCCCAGACCCTGACGTTTCAGGCAGCCCCTCCTAATCCGGAACATGACCCACATTCCGCCAGTCCTGTCTTGACAGGCGTGACCCTAATCCAATAGGGGTGAAGGGCTGAGTCCCGCAGAGCCAATGGCGAACATCCGAGAGGCAGTGGAGGCGGACTCTTTGAGGAAACAAGAAGACAGGCCCAAGATGGAGGCGGCGGCGGCTGTAGCGGCGTGACAGGTGAGGGCGGGCCCGGTAGGGCTTGGTTTCTGGAGCGGCCGCCGGGCCCAGGCGGGAATCCAGGGCCGAAAACTCAGTTCCAGGATGGCTGCGCCTGGGCCCTGGCGTCCCCCTCCGGAACCGGAGGAGTGGTTTGACCCGGGGCGAGACCATCGTCGACAGCGGGGGTGGGGTGGGTGGAAAGAAACAGGAGGGTAAGGTAGCTGTTGATGGTTTCGCCCGCCGGGAGTGGCAGCGCGCCTGCGCAGAGCCGGTAGCCCTTCGGTAGGCGGGGCCCGGCCCAAAGATGCCTGGGCTGGGGTGCGTGGTGCCCGGATTCCCTCTTAACTCCTTAAGGTGTCTGATGACCCTTCATTACTAACTCCAGAGAGTGCGTGGAGACGTGGTTTACTCCTCAGTTTCTTTATTGTGGATCAATGCCTGGCCCTCTAGGCGAATGTGTGAAGATTCCCCCGTTACTCCTTATCCTTCCTCAACCTTCCATGATTCCCCATTCAGTTTACACCAGTAACAGGTCTTTGACCCCTCATTAGTTGTCACGGAGAATTTTCTTACCTCCCCTTTTCTCACCTCAACACCATTACCTTCCTGTTTCTTCCCCCGAGACAATGTCTGGTTATCCACCATTACCACTTCTGTTTTGGTTCAGTGTCTGGTGACCCCCATTATCCATCATTCTCTCCATTAAAGTCCCTAGTGACCCTTACATATTACATCTCCCTTCAGCATAGTGTCTTGTGACTTCCATCAGTCACCTATCACAATCTGAGGTCCTACTGTCAACATTACACCCCAGGACTTAGGGATGCCCACTGTGCCCTTTAAGAATGTTTGGTGCAATCTCCATCTTCCCCAAACTAAGGACAGTATGTGATGGTCCTCTGTTTCCTATCACCTTGTCTCTGACTTCTCCCTCAACACAGTGTTTAGTAACCCCTCTTTCTCCATTAAAAAGCTGGGACATACTGTTCATGCCCTTTATGTACCTGCCATCTCAGTGCAGTGTGTGCTGACTTCCCCATTGATCCCCAACATAGAACCTTGTGTGCTCCTGTACCCTCCAGGACAGCGTGTGCTGCCTCCTACTGTGTTCCCTCGTCCCCTTCCTCCCCCCTCTGTGCAGTGAATATGAGACCTTGGCGCTCAAGAGTGAGACAAACCACAAGAGGGTCTGAGCAGAGAAGGACCTGGATGAACTTCAGGTGTGAGCAGGATCCCTTGGGCTGTTGTGTGGAAATTAGGCTGCAGGGGGCGACAGGAGCCTGAAGATTGAATTTTATTTTGTCCCCTGTCACTTTACTTCCAGACTATCACTACTGCACCTCTGAATTCCTCCTCTGTCTACCTTCTCCTAGGAGCCCCATGGCACCTGCCCAGCCCCACCTCAGCCCATCTTGACAAAGTCTTAGGCTCCATGGAGCCGTCACGGGGCCCCCCTGCCAATGGGGCTGAGCCGTCCCGGGCAGTGGGCACCGTCAAAGTGTACCTGCCCAACAAGCAACGCACAGTGGTGAGTAACGAGAGCAAAATGGCAGGGGTTGCAGGTGGACCCAGTTGTAACTCTGGGATTGGAAGGGTGACAAGGGCTGGGGGAGGCCTTTGCAGAGGGATGGGAGCATCAGCTGTGGTCTTTTAGGCACTGAAGATCCCCATGTCTATATACACACACACACAGGTAACTGTCCGGGATGGCATGAGTGTCTATGACTCTCTAGATAAGGCCCTCAAGGTGAGAGGTCTCAATCAAGACTGCTGCGTGGTCTACCGACTCATCAAGGGGTGAGTGTGGCAGCCCCATGCCTACCCACTGCGAGCCCCATCTCCCGTCCCCTCCTCAATCATCTGATTCCTTCTGTACTCTGTCACGGAGTCTTCCCTAAGTTTTTAGTAACCCCTTATCTGTGGGCAGTATGTTCCAAGACCCCTTTGGAGGCCTGAAACGGCAGATAGTATGGAACCTGATTGCCATCAATTGGAACATGTTTGTTCATGTCTTCCACTCACAAATGTAATGACTTTTCCATCTTAACTAAATGCTTATTATACACTTTGGCCTCGCTTTTGCATTTTGAGGTGTGACATCAAAACTAGCATAAATTTCTTTTTCCTTCTTCACAATTTCACAAATAGAACATTAAGGATTTTTTTTCTTCTCTTAAGTCAAGGACTTTCACTTTTTCTCTCAAAGAGGCACTTTTTGACTTCTCTTTGGCATGTCTGAATTGTCAGCATCACTACTCTTGTGCTTTGGATCCAGTATTAAGTCAAATACGGGTGACTTGAACACAAGCACTGCAATATTGAGACAGTCATTTGATAACCAAGCTGGCTACGAAGTGACTAGATAAAGGGATGATTCACATCTCAGGTGGGATGGAGCAGGCTGGTACAAGATTTCATTAGGCTGCTCAGAACAGCACACAGTTTAATACTTACGAAGTGCTAATTTCTGGAATTTTCCATTTAATATTTTTGGATCATGGTTGACTGTGGGTAACTGAAACCGTGGAAGGAAAAACTGTGAGTCCGGGGGCTTCTGCACTAGACAGGGGTCCACTCTCTTTCTTTCTCTCTCTCTCTCTCTCTTTCTTCTTCCCCCCAATCGCCAACGCTGTCTCCACCTTTGGGGTACCCTGAACCCGGCTGGAGCTGGACTCTGGCACCTTCCCTAGTGCACTGTCCCTTTTCACTTCATAATGGGGTAACACAGTGCATGGGGAAAAAAAAAAGAAAAGAAAAACTGTGAGTCCATCCATCTTTTTTACTTTACTTCTTTAGTCTACTGCCCTGTCAGGTCAGCAACGCATTTTCTCCTTGGCTGAGTCCTCACCCTACCCTATCACCTACTCCCAGAGTTCAACTGTTTTGTCCTTTCACTATTTCATTAATTCATCAGCTCTCTCCTTCCTCACTTTCTCCATTTTTTTTGTCTGCTGAATTGGGCCTTGCTGGCCTTCCATTTATTCCCCTGTTCTGAGGTTCCTTACTTTTTTATTCCTTTCACACACTGCATTTTACTTGTAGTTTCAGTGCCTCATCAGCCTCCTTTTTCAGGGGCTTACTTAGCACTTCTAGGATGTAGTCGTTAAGTTTTATTTGCTTCTTTCCTTGTGGTTAAAAGCATGGACTCTTCACACAGTCCTGCCACTCAATACCCTTGTGTCCTTGAGCAAGTCACTTTATTCCTTTGAACCTGTTTCCTCATCTGTAAAATGGGGGCAAGGATAATGACTAATTCTAGAGTTACTGTGATGTGAGTTAAATATGCCAGATATTACTCTGTGGATGGCAGGCTTGGAGGGACTTTTGGGGGCTCCTTACCTCCTCATGGCCCCTGTCCAACCTCCCACTCATTCCCTTCCATGTCCCCTTCAGGCGAAAGACAGTCACTGCCTGGGACACAGCCATTGCCCCCCTGGATGGCGAGGAACTCATTGTCGAGGTCCTTGAAGATGTCCCGCTGACCATGCACAATTTTGTGAGTGCAGGGTGAACAGTGGGGACAGACCATGGTGGGAGGAGGTCCTTGACCAGGCCTCAACGTTCCATGTTCTGTGGCAGCAGGTACGGAAGACCTTCTTCAGCCTGGCGTTCTGTGACTTCTGCCTTAAGTTTCTGTTCCATGGCTTCCGCTGCCAAACCTGTGGCTACAAGTTCCACCAGCATTGTTCCTCCAAGGTCCCCACAGTCTGTGTCGACATGAGTACCAACGGCCGACAGTGAGCCCAGCCTGGGATGGGTGGGGAGATGGGGAGGACAAAGACCCAGCCATAGGCCCTTACAGACAGCTGACCCATATACCCTTGCTTTATATCCTTAATGCCATCAAGGTACTACCATAGTGTCCAGGATTTGTCCGGAGGCTCCAGACAGCATGAGGCTTCCTCCAACCGCCCCCTGAATGAGACAGTAACCCCCCAGGGTCCCAGGTAGGATGCGTGAGCTGAAGAGCTGCTGGGGGAGACAAAAACCTGGGGGCTCCTGTAGACCACAAGTCATACTTTATTTATCAGTTTACTTGACAAACATTTATTGAGTACATACAAGTGAGTAAGGCATGGAACTGTGGGCAAATCACCTAGCTCTCTGGGCCTCAGTTTTCTTGTCTGTAAAGGGGATATAATGATACTTTCTACCACATCAGGTTCTGGTGGGGATCAAATAAGTTAAGACATGTCCAGTGCTTAGAATAGAAGCTGATAGAGAGTAAACAATTGTTTCTTTTTATTAACTATAAATATATATATAATCATCTAACTACTTCTTAAATTCTTCTAGTATGACCACGCTCAAGCCTTTCCATTTTGAAATATATTATTTTATCATAAGTTACTTCCCTTTTATTTATTTATTTTATTTATTTATTTTTTTCAGTCAAAGTCTCACCCTGTCGCCCAGGCTGGAGTGCAGTGGCATGCTCACAGCCACCGCAGCCTCGACCTGCTGGGCTCAGGCGATCCTTCCACCTCAGCCTTCCCCCTTTTATTTCTAAAGAGAAATAAAATGTTAAGATTTATAATAATACAAAATATATTATTGTTGTAACATTAATATTTTATAATATTTATACTTATATGGTATATTTATGTTATTGTGTCATGTATTACATAATATTTGTATATAATGTGGAATATCAGGCATATTTATGTAATACATAAAAAGGTGGAGTTAGGGTATTATATTCTTTTAAATTATGGGTGTATGTGGACTAATTATCTCTGAATTTCATTTCAGGATAGTGAAGGGAGCATTAAGAAATATTTTTGTAACATAATATGTATAACATATATAATGTAACATGGTAGTATGTCTATTTTAAAACATTGCCATTTTGAGATAGAGAATGCATATTATATAACATTTGAATAGTACATATAATTATATATAATTATATTATATTATATATTACCCCTTTTCCACTATGTGTATGGCTTGCTGTCCCTCCATTAGGCCTTTGCTCCAATGTCACCTCCTCAGAGAAGCCTTTCCTGACACCCATAGGGACACTTTCTGTGTCTTTAATTTTCTTATTTTTCTTTATTACACCTATCACTATCAGGCATATCTCTTTGTTTTTTTTTTTATTCCCTACTAGAATATCAGCCCCATGAGAGCAAGAACTGTTGTTTTGTTCACAGTTTTTTTTTATTTTTATTTTTTGAGTTGGAGTCTCACTCTGTCACCCAGACTGGAGTGCA